AATTAAAGAAACAAAGATCATACATACATATATGCTAGCTCAAGAAGACATTATTCCGATCAAGCGAAAACGAAGCAAGAGACCTCGACAGTCGTCCCCGCTTGCCCTAACCATGTCGGCAAGCTTCTCCGGCACTACAAGTGATCTCAATTCCGACGACAAGTCGACAATCGGTAGAGACGAAGATCACGAGGAGGAGGATATGGCCAACTGTCTGATTCTGCTGGCCAGAGGTCAGCCTCCGACAGTGGTTGATGCAGCCACCGCCGCCAGCTTTCGGTGCAAGACGTGCGACAAAAAGTTCACGTCCTTCCAAGCTCTCGGTGGCCATCGGGCAAGCCACAAGAAGCTATCGGTGGCCCCACACGAAAACGAGCCGAGCGGAGGTGAAATTACGATTTTGTCCCTACGAGTCCCGACTGCACCGGACGAGAAAAAGGCGGCTAGAGTTCACGAGTGCTCGTTGTGTGGGGCCCGATTTGGGTCTGGCCAGGCGTTGGGCGGCCACATGCGGCGGCACAGGCCGTTGGCGACTCGGGATGTAGCCAAGCGGCCGAGGACGGTTTTGTCATTGGACCTCAACCTTCCGGCGGTGGCGGAAGATGCCCGCGGCGAGTGTGAAACGGATAATGAGTTTGCTTTATCGTTGCCGCATGAACAAGTCATCGTGTTCTCGGCCACGTCATTGGTTGATTATTGCCAATACTAGTTGTAGTTAGGGGTGGATTTAATTATTTATTTATCTTTTATTATTTGTTAATTATTCTTTTCAAAATTCAACTAGCAAATTGTTGTTGTATATCGTTAGGATTGTGTAGTAAGTGTCGTTGTTAATCTGTAATTAGTTAGTTAAAGAATTGTTTGGTCCTTAATTCTTTTGTATATTGATCTCTAATATCATTATAAAAAAAAATATTATTCTTTTGGTGTATATATATATATGAAGAATTATACTTAAATAATTTGTGTTTCTTAAAATTTATTTCATTTTTAAATTATGCATATGAGGGAAAAATTATTAATATCCAATTACTATTATACCAATATTGTATGTACGTATTATTGAAATATGTTCTTTTATGTCATTAAGGGCAAAATGGTCAATTTATATTATTTATCTTGCTCTCCCATTTTTAACCAAACAAGATTTATCATTTTTCTTCTCATACCCTTCTAAAAAGTATCTCCAAAGAAAGTAAATTATTATTTTACATCCCTTCTCCTTCCCTCCCTTGCCTTCCATTAAAATCTCACTCTCCCCTCCATTTTCTTGTGGTGAACCAAACATAGCTTAGTCATAGGTAGGCACGTAAACGAGTCTAGTCGAGCTCGGCTCGTTAAATAAATGAGCCAAAAATTGAGCTTGAGCTCGGCTCATTTGTCTCTATTAATGAGTCGAGTTCGAGATTTAACTAGCCGATTTCGAGTTTTAACGAGCCGAACTATAGAAAATTATATAAAAATCTCTTTTCAAAATTGAGCAATGAGCTCAAGCTTGGCTCGTTAAGGTCTCGAGCTCGAGCCAAACTCAAGTCTTTACGCCAAGAGTCAAGAGGCCCGTTTAATTTAACAACACTAGTCATTGGGAGATGTTTTTGTTTCTTTTACCTTGGTAAATCCTGTAAATCCAAGGTTAGGAGTTTGTAGTCTTTGTAATCAGTTGATTGTACTCTAATTATGAAATGATTGGTATTAGGAAATAACATGAGAATGCAATGATTATTCCTTTACTCATTTCTTATCCCATGATTGATATATTTTGTTGAAAGGAATTATCATCCTAATGAAAATTGCAAAACCCATTTCCATAGGATTAGTCATTCCATAGTTAACGCAAGGTTTTCTCATTCTCATAATGTAGGAATCAATTTAAAAAAAAAATAACATTAACAAATACTAATAAAAAATAAATATATAATACAACCGTACCGGCCAGTTTACCGGTGGTCCGACTGGTACACTTACACTCTAAATACCGTTTTGGCCAAAATATCGGTTTCATACCGGAAAATACTAGTTTTACCAGCCTAAATATCGGTTTATGCTAATTTTTTTTTTTTTGAAAAATATTTTTAGATATATTTCATTAATTTAGTTATATAAATTGAAAGGTCTACACTTAATTTAATATGTTTACATTGTTATTAAATATTTATTAATTTTAATATTAGTTACAGTTAGTTTTGTACATCATTTATATTATAATAACAAATTAATTTAATATTTATTAAAACCGGTAAAATAGACGTTTGAACCGGTTGAACCGACCGCGTATCGTTGGCTCATCCGGTATGATTACTGTTACGGTATTTAAAATACTGTAATTTATGAAATTTATTGTTATTGAAAGTTTATAAGTTTAGGATAAAAATAAGGTTTTAGCTTATGTAACACATTGAGAATAGAGAAACGTGTTTATGGGTTTTTATTGTTAAAGTTGCTAAGCCCTTATTTTCGGGACTTTACTCTCTAACCCATTAGCTTGACCCACAATAGTCGAACTACGTACTACTTGGCCGCTGCTTATTTCGAGAGAGAGAGAAGCGAAGTCAGTGAGAAATGCCGGCGCCGGACCGTCAGAGAGACGGCTGCGATGAGGATGCCGCCGCACTATTTGACGAAGAAGGTATGGATTTGGCCGAGGAAGACGATATCGAGCAATCAGACATTCCTCTGCGCCTCCGTCCGCTCGTCTCCGCCGCCGAGTCCGGCGATCTGAACGCCCTCCGCTTAGCCCTAGGTAACTGCAGCTATTATTCACTATTACTCTCCTGCTGGAAATTTTAAGTGCCTTTGCTGTGTGTGTGCGCGCGCGTGCGTGTTGTGTTCCTGCAACGAGTTTAGTGATGGCCGTGAAAGAGCAAGCGATTAGAATTCGGAAATGGATATGTGTGTTTAGTATGTAGCTCAAAATTTATGTGATTTTTCTGTTGTATTTGCCAATTGTGGACGATTTTTTGTGCTATGAACATGAACTGAGATTATGATACCCTTGTACCTAGAATTTTCTGTTTCTAATTTGAACCTAGTTGTTTAGCATTAACATCATCATACCATAAATCTGGTGATATATGATAAATTTTAGATGTACATGTGTGAAAGGATGTGTAGCTGTACGAAAAGCATTTGAACTTCGATGGTCGTCTTCTTTGATTTCATCCAGTCACTTCAGATGCTGCCAATAACAATAACATTTTTTCCCTGAAAAGCTTGCTCAATGGTTTTTCATCATAGGGAGGAAGATATTAGTTGCAGTTTCTGTTTTCTTTTGATGCAAATGACATTCTGTTTAATGTTGCTATAAAGTTTGTACTAGTTTGTTAGAGTAAATTTTTGCAGGTGGAAGTTTATTTTGATCTATACTGTATGCAAATGACATTCTGGCTTGTGGATGAATCTCTTATGACTCATTACTAGTGAGTGAGAAACAAATCATTATCGTTGAAGCTTTTGATTTGAAGAAGTTGAGTTAATTTTGTTGTTAGTTATACATGGTTCCCTTTCCCATCACAGGCTATAATTTTATGGGTGTTTTAGGATGATCTATTGAACCATATGTTTGTAGCTTTTGTTTTTACTTTCTTGCTGCTTTCTAATGGACCATTGATTTGTTTTTTTAAGCTTGAATTTTACATGTGCACAGAGCTATCTAAACAAACTAGTCTTATTCTGTGTACAGTGTACTGATCCTTATTGAGATTTCATGGACAAATATGCAGAGAATTTTGACGGCAACATTGATGAACCAATGGAAGATGGCGACACTCTTCTTCATCTGACATGTCTTTATGGCCATTTGAACTGTGTTCAGGTCAAATGATCTCATTCAATTGAATTAGATAGAATACTATCAACTGCTTCAAATTATCGGCACATTATCTTTTCGTGTTAGTTTATTAATGATTAATCATCGGCACATTATCTTTATCTCATGTCTTCTTAAAACTCACTAGTGTGCAAATCCATGCAGTTTTTGTTGGAAAGGGGAGCTAATTTGGAGGTAAAGGATGAAGATGGAGCGATTCCTCTGCACGATGCCTGTGCTGGAGGTCAGTCTAATAAGCATCTCTGTTTATCCATCAAAATAATTGTTCTTTCTGTCAGATATGGTTTTCTTCTTGAAAGCATCCTTTTGGATTTACATCTCTAAAAACTTTAGTTTTGTATGTTGTAATGAATTTTTCGTGAGAACTTAAATATTCAAGTTCAATAAAATTTGAGAACCACTGTTCATGTTTCCGAGTAGATATATCGAACGTTGAACACGAGATAACACTTGCATTTTGATGTTCATATAATTTTGAAAACCCACTTTGCAGGTTACACAGAAATAGCCCAACTTCTCATTAACCTTGCTAATGACCCACAACGCGTGAAGAGGATGCTAGATACTGTTGACGTAGAAGGGGACACGGTATGGGTTATTTATGTTATCCAACGACTGTAGGAAGATTAAGGGGAGTGTATTCGTTTGGGATTTTGAGTGACATTTTGAGATTTTTTAAGATCCGACACTTTTGAGATTTTGAGAAATTCTATGAAATCTTAGGTTTTGATAAGAGATTTGGAGTGGGATTTCATATACATATATATATATATATATATATATATATTTTCCTTTTGACATCCCAGCAAATCTTAAAAAAGTCTTTACAAATAAGTTAGATTTTATAAGATTTTTTTAAAATCTCAAAATGAATACTCAGACTTTTAAAACTCTTAAAAAAGTCTATACACTAGGATTTCTGAAATCTTAAAGTCTTTAAAAATCCCAAAAGAATACACCCCTAAATCCGTCTAAATCTGAGAAAAAACTTTTTTCCCCATATCTCCTATCAGCCTCTTCACCATGCTGCTAGAGGCGAATATAGCGATGCCATTAAACTGTTGCTTGCTCACGGGGCTTCTCCTACTAAGACAAATATCTATGGGAAGGTATGTGAGTGAGAACCTCAAAATGTTATGTTGTTTTACCCTTTTCTGTTTCATAATTTGAGTAATCTTTTGGCAGACTCCGACCGAATTTGCTGATATCGGGACTGAAGCTAGGAAGATATTAGAGGAAGCTGTGGGTGCTATACAAGGAAATTAAAAGCTTTCCTTTACGAAAAGGTTTTATACTTTCAACTTGGGGCATTACTTTATATGATCTTTGCCGGCCTTTCTTTTCCAGTAGGTTAGGTTAACCTTTAATAAGAAAGACGTTAATTGCAAACCAAGGCATATTTTTTTTTTTTTTGCAAACAAACCAAGGCAAGTTGATCATGGATCATTTGATTTTTACATATATAATTGCGATATTAATCGTGGGGGGAGCTCATTTGATTTATACATATATTGTTTAGAAATTAGGTGCCTTGGCTGTTTGACTGGCATTCTTGTTCTTCGGTGGTCGTTTTAAGATCATTTGAGCACGCTGTTAAGTGAAAACAGTCGTACTCAAGGGAAAATGCGAGGGACACAATTGATGTGCTTCCATGGAATGGGAATATTTTCCATAAACCCGTTTTTTGAGGGTAGTGGTCTTATAGAGATATAACCCAAACAAAAGAAAATTGAACACAATATCAGTCGGAATTGCTCATATATAAATTGTGGGCGCATTAAAATGTATCAACCAACCACATGTCACGATCTCGTGATTTCATATAAATTGTGGGCGCATTAAAATGTATCAACCAACCACGATCTCGTGATTTTGAACCACGTTATATGATAATCATCCATCACGTCAGTTGGGTGTGCATATTAATCCGAGTGTAATGTGTATATGAAAATGAGTGCATTAAGCTTGTGGAAAATGAGGCAATTTCACAAAGCTTGTTGATAAGTTCATAGTTGGAAGAATTGAAGGATAAATGATCTCACGTATACAAGTGGCATGAAAACTGAGGAGTGACCAATTGTAAGCAGATGAAAAGGCTGACAGAGGAGATAAAAGCTACGCAATGCTACTGATTTGGAGCCTTTGCTGGGCTGGTAAACATGGGCTCTTTGGCGGGTCTTTGTTGCAACTATTGGAATTGGGATTTCATGGGCCAATTTAGGCTCTCGACAGCAAGACATATAGAGGTCCTGTAAAATGTTTAGAGGTCCTGTAAAATGTTTATTATAATTTTTGGAAAATTTTACAAAATACGATATTAAAAATAGAACAATACATAAATAATTCATCAACAAGTTATAATTTAAAAATTAATTCAATTTAGAAATGAACCACACCATACAATCATATTAGTAAAAACTAGATGCAAAAATTGACCTCTTGTTATAAAAACGGGAAAGATAAAGAACTCAATATAAAAATTGGATATAAATTATACTCAATATTTCTTCTTTTTTCTGAAAATGCGTACTCTTTCACTACATTTGTATTGCCTTTCATAGATAAATTCTACGGCCACTATGCACACCAATTATTCATATCTCATAACTCATTTACTATTCCCATTACTCCAAATAGTGAAATGTCACTATTTATGCATAGTGTTCATTCCACTTGTTTATAACACTTCCACCAAACAACATTGTACAATTAAAGATACAAAATTCTAACTAAGTATAATAGATACCATTGCCGAACAAAAATATCATAAATAAATAAAGAAAAGAAACACCGTATGTTAAAGATTTGGCTCCTTTGTTTNTAAATAAAAAAAAGGTCAGTTAACCTCATAATTACATGTGCAAAAATAGCTACATACCCACAAAACTGTTGGAGCCAATCAAAATTCAAATTCCACGGGCTATCCTATTACTTTAGAAAAGGCTTTGTGTCTAACCACCAGCCACGGCATTTGGCGGGAAAACCCTCTTAATGAACTCGAGAAATCGGTGGGAGTAGAATGTGGGGTCCACGGCCGAAATCGAGACCGAGTCGAACTGAACGGACTTGTAAGCATGCTCAATCTTCTTGCTCATGTTGTACTCTTGCAAAATGTCGATAATGCCCAAGTACAGGACAACATCGTACGCCTCGTGAAACATCTCGGAAGCTTCTTTTCCCGGTACGTGCTCGGCTCGTGCAGGCATATTCACGCCAAGCTGGATTTGGAGCCTTTAAAGAAATAAAAATAAAAAAAATTATAAAAAAGGAAAACTTGTCAGTACTATGATCTAGTGAAAAGGAATCACAGCTTTTGAGTTGGTATCTTTGTGAAAAAAGCTATGTGAATTGTGCTTGCCTCACATTTATAGAAAAAGTTTGGGAAAACCCCCTCTTCAATTTATGCTATTATCATTTGCCAAAAAAATTACATTTTGACCACAATTCTCTTCTGAAATTGGAAAGCACCTTCTTAGTCTTGAATATTGGGATCATTGCGAAAAGTAGCCTTGAGCCTTGAGGTTTGATCTAATTATAAAGCAACCCCAGGTAACTTCAAAAGTTATCAAAATACCCTGAGCTTGATTTTGTGTTGAAAATTTGAAATAGACAGGTTAAACTGGAATGATTTAATACATGTGCAGTGCAGGGGAGTTCTTAAAGTCTTTGCTAGTCAATGGAGCAAGTGTAGAAAAAAAAAAGTAAAATCTCATAAGTATCTTTTGTAATCTTGAGAGTCAGCTGGGTTGTTTTGGAAATTAGCTCAAACTACAAAGGCACTTTTCATAAGTAAACCTTGTTTCCATTCCATCTCACAAATCTTGCACATGAGGGTGGCTACTAGCTGCATTTATCAAGCAGATACAAACAAGCAACTAGCAAGCAAGCAAAGGTCTGCTTGTAGTAGTGCATTTCAAGATTTCAAAAAAATTACTCGATATTTATTTTCTTCCTTTTGAAACTCGACTAAAACTACAGCGCAGTCGAAATAGAAACAATTTTCGAAACAAAAACAGTAACCTATAAATAAACAACACATTAAGATAAGTGGGCATGGTAAAGGTAAAAATACCTTGCTGTACCAGGAAGAAGGAGATCAACTTCCTCGTCACCAGTAGAGGATGTTGCCCTCAACCGGCTGCCTCTTATATGCGACCCCACCACAACACTACTATCATCGGCGCCACGTGGCACCAAGACGAGCCCCTGTGGAGATATTTCATCCTCCGTGGCATCTGAGGACCGAAAATCAACAATCGGAGGTCAAGAAAAACAAGTATTTATCCAAGAAGAAATTTTGAAGAGAAAGAATTACTTGACTAGGCTTATATAAGTTATTTTGAAATTGTTGGATAACCAGAGTTAGTTTTGAAAAGGCTGATTGGGTTGGGTTTGAGTGAAATTTTGAGTTTATATTTTAAAAAAAATATTTAAAATATAATGATGAAAGTTGATTTGATTTAAAAGTAGGAGAGAGGTGATTGGAAGTGAAGGATAGAAATATGTGAGTGGATGAATAGTGAATTAAAGTTGGTTTGATGTGTGAGGATGATTGATTGGTATTATTTAATTATATTGATAATATTGAGGAGGGTTGGGTTGAGTTAAATTTGAGTTCGATTTTGTGTAAAAAAAATTATCTGGTTGACCAGATAATTTATAACCAATGAGGGCCATAGAGATGTAGATTACTGATTTTGTGGCTTTTTTATTATACAAACAATGTGCAGATAATAGTTCAAGGCTACATATTATAAATCTATCAAACTTGTCAAAATACCTCTTTTGGAGTCACATCAACATTGAGTTTTTAACAAGAAGCAACTATTATGGGGCATAAGATAACAGGATAATTAAGTAAAAATAGGCTAATCCCCCGTGATTAGTCGCCAATTAATCAGATAGCTAAGCAAAACTTACCATCTTCGGCCACAATTCCTAATCCTCCCTCAACCGGCATGCGATGTCTATAGGACGGCATCATGGATCTTAAATGTTGAGGTGCTCGGTAATGAACACCGAGCAAGAGGCTATAGTCCATTATCCGCTGTGATTCCAAAAATTTACTATCAATTTCAATCTGCCTGCAAATGGAACAAAAAAAAACAGCAAGATCTAAAATATCAAGAAATATGTTAAGCTTGCATACAAAAGAATGTTATAAAATTTTCCTTCGGTTCGCACAAATTTTTTTTTTTCTAAATAAATTTAAAAGCAGAAACAGGTAGCTCCACGTACTGTAGGAGGGAGTCGCGCCAAGAAGGCTCTAAATAGAAGCAGTAATTTAAATCGAGATCCTTAAGAATAGTGTTCTCGTCGATCTCAACCTTGTTCACTGAGCGTCCCAAAGATGAACCTTTCAGATCAAACCTTCTGTGAATTCTTAGCTCTGTGCAGAACATATTTCCCATTACCACAAAACGAAACTGCAATAGTGAAAGGTTCGTTAAATAAGAAACAGAATTTTCATATTTCATATCAAAGATACTTTTTGTTTCAAGAAAATTAGACATTTGGAGTTATATGATAAACATCTGTGTTACCTTTTGACCACTGGAAGGTATAATTCGGTGCAAGCCGAAAAATTTAGTTATGAGAGTGTTCTCATATCTGCGTACATGAAGATGATAGTTTGGGAGCATGCGTAGCAGAACCTGCAATTTTTAAGCAAATGAAGCTTGAATCTTGATTTTAAGGGAAAGCCGATCATGAATAAAATGTACCTGAACTAGTGAACTTTGTTTCATAATAAAATCAATCCCCTACTGTACAAAGAAAAAATGCACCAAAAATATAATCCTAGTTCTTCTGTTATATAGTTCTACAGATATTTCTTGCATTATTTTGTTCTTTCTTTCCGTTTT